CAAAAAAAAAAAAAAAAAAGGGTACCTGATCTCAAACCAGGTGAAGTGGGGACCAAAGTGAGGCCCAAACTTTACCTACACAATGACCATTTGTATACCTAACCCTGAGTTGTACCCTACAACTTTAAAATAATAATCTAAAACATCCCATTAGGGAATGAACAGTGGCTGATAGTTCTGAGTTGAGAGCTGACATTGTTGCTAAGAAGAGGGCGGACATTCGTGCACCTGATATGTTGAACATGAGTCCTACTGGGCTGCAGGAGAAAGGGTGAGGGTGTCAATAGCTCCTCCCTCCATCCCGCCCCAGCCCAGGGGAGAGGGCCATGTCTCTGCGGCCACAGCTCCTGGGCCACGGCGGCTGTCATGCAGCTGCTCCTTACCTCCCCCCAGGCAGCAGGCGGGGGCTCCACGGGAGGGTAGTACTTAGGCACGTCCCAGGCCACCGCAGCCATGAACCACTTGAAGTCCTTGCACTTGAGCTGCTTGCGCAACTCCTTCTGGGCTGAGATGTCCCCTGTGGACAGGTGCCTGTACTCAGGTCGCCGCTGGTAGATGTACTCGGCAAACTCGTCCATCCACGTCTCCGCCACCCGCTTCAGGTTCTGTGCAACAGAAGAAACAAAGCAAAACCCAGGTCATTTGTTGGTTTATGTGTTCAAAGCGTGATTTGAATTGCACCAGGATCGTTTGTGTATGCGAGTCAAGGTCTCACTCTGTCGCCCAGGCTGGAGGACAGTGGCATCGTCACAGCTCACCACAGCCTCGACCTCCTAGGCTCAGGTGATCCTCCTACCTCAGCCTCCTGAATAGCTGAGACTGCTGGCATGTGACACAACACTGGGCTGCTTTTTTTTTTGTAGAGACAGGGTCTCACTATGTTGCCCAGGCTAGTCTCGAACTCCTGGGCTCAAGCAATCCTCCTGCCTCAGCCTCCTGAGTAGCTGAGACTGAAGCATGCTCCACCACACCTAGCTTATTTATTTATTTGTTCGTTTGTTTGTTTATAGAGATGGGGTCTAGCTACATTGCCCAGGCTGATAAAAACAACTCCTGCGTTCAAGTGATCCTCCCGCCTTGGCCTCCCAAAGTGCTGGGATTATAGGCGTGAGCTACAGCGCCTGGCTGAAATTGCACTGGACATTGAAAAAAGAAAAGGAAGAGATATCAGGCAGGTTCCAGCTGCTCTGGCCATTGGGTGACTTGTTAACAAGGCAAGTTTCATGACGGCAAGGAGGGTGGTAAGATCAGCCTGTGGCTTCTCAGTCATTTCCGCTTCTGGCTGGGGTTCAATGACCAATTTGGTAATTAATTTGTCAGAGTCAGTAAAGATCCAACTCACCATTATAGCCACTTTCTCATCCCTTTGTTGTATCATGATTACGATTTTTAAAAATTTCACGTTTTTAAATGTGAGCTGAAGGTGTTGAAACTGGAGAGAATGGGCCCCCCTCTAAAGGCATCGATTGCTTAAAGCCCTTCCAGAAACAGGAGTCTTGGGAAGAACGAGGATAAACAAGCCATTCTTCTCTCTCAGCTATAGAGAGACAACCCGACATTACCAAATTCAACACCTGGTGTTCTGATGCTTTCTCTGTGCAGTGGAGATACCGATCAAAATTCAGTAATTCACTGCATGAAGTAGGGTTACAGGGTGCGTCCCAGCTGTTTCCCTGGGGTGAAGGAAGGAGAAGATTGATGGAGGGAAGGAGCATGGTTCCCTAGGGATGGGAGGGCATGTGGGTTTGGGTTCAGGGTAGGAAGCTTTGCCCGTCTGTCAGTTTTGGAATTGAGCAAGTTACTTATCCACGCTGGGTCTCAGAGTCCTCGCCTGCAAATGGCAACAGTAAGGTACACTCCATCAAGGGTGTGGTTGTAGGATTAGATACAGCCACACCCCTAGAGGGCTTAGAACACCGCCTGCCACACAACAGATACTATGAATAGCAGGGCTGTTGTTAGTAATAGTAAGAGTGTGGGGTTGGAAATGGCGAGTATGAGCATTAGACCTGGCTGGACTCTAGTGGAGCTGTTTTAAAAATTTTAATTTAATTTATTCATTATTTTTTTTGAGTCACAGTCTCACTCCGTTGCCCTGGCTGGAGTGCAGTGGCACACTCACGGCCACCGCAGCCTCAACCTGCTGGGTTCAGGCGATCCTTCCACCTCAGCCTTCCAAGTAGCTGGAACTTTAGGCACAAGCCACCACGATTGGCTAATTTTTTGATTTATTGTAGAGATGGGGTCTCAAACCTGTGGGCTCAGGCAGTCCTCTCACCTCGGCCTCCCAAAGTGCTGGGATTATAGGTGTGAGCCACTGTGCCCAGTCTTTTTTTTTTAATTTTAAAGATGTGGAGTACAATTCAGGATTAGGATACAAGTGGACATCGTACAGGTAAGGTCTGAGCCTCCCTTTAGTCCTTACTTCACTTGGTTTGAGATTATTGATGTTATGTGCCACCCTCACCCCCAGGAGTGTCCCGCTACTGCCAATCCCTTTCTAATAGTGTTATGGTAAATGTTTAGGGTCCACTTATGAGTGAGAACATGTGGTGCTCTGTTCTTTGTTTCTGCGATAGATCACTGAGTATAATAGACTCTAAATCCATTAATGTTGCTGCGAAGTCCATAAGTTTGTCTTTCTTTGTGGCTGTATAATATTCCATCGTGTATATGTCCCACATTTTTTTATCCAGTCCAGTTTTGATCAACAGCACGGTTGGGTCCATGTTTTTGCTACTGTGAATAGTGCTGCAGTAAGCATAATGCGCAGGTATCTTTTTTGTAGAATGATTTGTATTCTTCTGGGTATATTACCAGTAAGGGGAATTGCCTGAACCTTTAGGAAAAAGGGTCTGCTGAAAGGAGAGGCTCGCATTGGCCTTCTAGCTCTGTGGTGCTAAGAGGTAGAGAGCACAGCTGCTTTTGTCCAGAAAATGTCGGTCTTGAGGTGGACGTCCCAGGGGCTCTGGTTCTTGTTCAAATTCTGTTTTAGGTACCCTTTGGTGTGAGCACTGACCCACCCCCTTGTCTTATTTGTACTTAGAAGATTAAATGAACATGATGGCCAGGAACCTTAGTGAGATCCAGACGTAAGTGACTGAAGTCAAAACTAGTGATATTTAGGAAAAATTGCTGTATTTTAAAAATGACCATGGACCCTAACTCAGGCCTGGAGCCATGCCCAGTGATCTGTGGGATTTGAGACACAGTCTTGATCTCATATTCCTCATGGGACTGTACGCTTTTCTTACTCTGTCCCAGCACCTGTCTCTCCGATGGGCCTCTCCCCCATCGGACCGTGTCCCTTTCATGCTCCATGGTTACTTGGTGCATGCTGGCACCAAGAAGGACTCGGTTAATACACAAGATGCAGAAAATAGGCCGAATCACAAAGACTGCCCCGATTCCTTGGTTGCCTCTGTGTTCCTTCCTTTCTAAGATTCCGGGTGCTTAGAATTGTAGCTAAGTGATGCTGAGAGTGAGAATTGTCCCCGAGGGATTGTTAGTTGCATTGCTGTGTGTCTCCCAGCCATCAACACCGCCTGGCCCGAATGCTTTCCACCCCTCTGACTTCTGTCTACCTTGACAGGTGACTACAGTCAGCATCGTCTTGTAATATTCTAGCCCTTGCCACTGATTCTGAATTGCTCAATTCATTTGGGGACAGGAAAGGAAACCAGTGGTCTTGGGGCTCCTGCACTGTGATGCCCCCTTTACCACAGACATTCAGAAAACCTCCCTGGGAGTCTGTGATGTCACCCTTCCATTTTGACAAATATTCTGCATGAGATGCATTCTATTTTATTTGTCTTCAGACAGAATTTTAAAAGTGAGAATTAGAATGAAACACAATTAGCTGATAATATTAAAACTTTAAATTTGATTTTAGGTTGTAGTTCCAAACTTTTAAAAAATTAAAATCTGTGATAATTAAATAAAGTGGAAGTATTTAATTTTCATCAATTTACACCTCTTTGATAAGTGCAAATGAGTAAAGCCAAAGGAATAGCAAAAAAGCAGAAACAGAGAGGCAGGTGAATCGGGAATAAAGAACAAGTGACTTCTTTAAGAGGAAATATGCCTCAAAAATCCTCAGAGCTTATAAGAAAGTTGTATCACTCTTAGTGACTTTAGTCAAACTTGGATAAATAAACTCTTTAAAACTATTAATGCCATGAAGTTAAGAGTAGATCTATTTTTTCCATAAAAGGCCTGGCCAGCCTCTTGTTTGGTCCCCAAAACATGCACATGTTCCTCTGGGCATGTTAGTTATTGAATTAATAAGAGGCTATATTATGAAATGAATGTGAGTAAATTCAGAGCATGCATATGTATCTGTTGATAATGGCACTGAAATAGGAACAATTTTAAAAAGTGCTGCTGCTAACAGGTAGCTTTCTGTAGCTTTGGGTTTCTGAAAGAGAAATGGGAATTATTGCCCCTCCCCCCCCAAAAAGGTGGAAGAGACTAATTCCATCAGAAATGGTTCAAAGGGTCATGACAGATGCTAGCCAGGTACGTCATATCAATAAATAAAAGGGCGGGAGTCAACATGCTGGTAAGTGGTCACTAGGGAAACTAGTTTAGCTAAACAGAAGACTGGCCAGGGAGCTCTGCATTACCATCTTCCAATGGAAAGATACTAGTGTGCTGGTTAGGTTTGCTGTTGTCTCAAACACTTTAAAGAAAACAGCAGAGTTGTGGACATACACCAGGAATAATGTCAAATCACTAATCTGTCTTTTGTAGTTTTCCAGGCAACAGTAAAAGAGAAGCAGCATAATAAATACAAAAGCTGCAACAGCTAGTTTCCCTCTAGACACAAGCCTTACATACATATTTAAACATAAATAAAACATCCTGACCATTCCCGCCTGTTTCCAGAGACTCATTAGACCTCTTTGGTTATAGATGCTATGTTTTCGAATGGAGTTTCCTACCAGGAGGAAGCTTTCTCAAGTACCGATGATTATAGTCAAGGAATAGCCCTCACTCCTAAATCATCCAGGTGGTGGGTCAAATAAAATCATTCTGAAGTCTTGGTATTCTGGAAAATAGCAACACACTGTGTTTGTTCATCACTGGAATCATGAGTTAGTACTTTGTTTTGGGCAAAACATTGGAACCACAGTTGAAGAATATTGCAAGCAGTTGCAAGAAGAGTTTCATTATCTTTTATAGGTTGTGGAATAAATTTACTCACTCCAGGAAATAGTACAATCAAATATTTTTATTTGAGTTGATTGGAGTATTTGTATGGGAGTACATAACACATGCTCAAATATATGGAGGTAACGGGGTAGAAACAAAGCCATATTTCTCACTTAAACACTCAGAGTAGTGTAAGCACGTACGGAATCATGGAATGGAAACGTCTCTGTAATATCTCTTGCCAGAGATGGTAAAAAAGAAACATACATCAATCTGAGTTGTCCCATCTCTGTTTGAGATTGAATGAACATTGGCAAAGGCGTGAAGATGCCTAAAAATAGGTCCCAAGTGGAAAGAAAGAGTCAAGCAAGAACCCTGGGAGATCAATGTGTCCTTGTATACTACTGAGTCATCAGAAGTTGCGTTGCTAGAGGTTGTCTTACACACGCAG